TTCATTTTCAATCAAGCTACGTTTACTATTACGGCTAATGTACTGAAATTACATATAGTCAGCACAAGGGAAGTATCAAGTGAAAGGCCTACATAAGACGATTGATAGCGATTCGTTCCGCGATCGTAGCTGATGTTAGATAAGGGTAGTCGCTTTCTACGTCACGGAGGATACCCAAACTCTTCGGGACTTCATTGACTTGCGTCATCTGCCACAACCATCAATATTCACGGACGAGAACTGACACTCACTGTTCCAATCTCATCGTCGGAAGCACACCTGGGTCGATGGGAACCTACCAACAGCCTCACAACAAATCTATACTGTATAGAAGACGGACTTATCGAACCCTGTACAACAATGCTGATATTCATAGTCCTAATCAGGTCCTCGGTGATCTCCACAGGGGCGCCAATTATAACCTCATCGACATGCTTGCATGCGCTCACGTTCAATACCTGATGGGAACGGATAGGCCGTAACAACAGCTCAGTGATGATCTGTACGCGCTCGAGTAAATTCATCACAGGGTAATTGCCACCCTTCATTTTGTGGACTGTTTCATCGTCGAAGATGCCCACTAATAAGTACCTGAGATGGCGATTCAAGTCATTCAAGACTGTTTTCATATCTAGACGATTCCTCAATTGAGACCGTCCGTCTACCATGAGCGTAACGAAACTCACGTGCCAAGAGCCTTCGCCTTCTCGAGAGTTGTTGCATGTCCAACATTGAACATATCAAAAGCTCCATCAACGTAGCTGAGATAAGTAAATAGAAATAACAGAAGAATTGGGTAGTTACACGACAGTGTCATCTGCCGATGGAGCCCGCCTCGAGGAGAATTCGGCAATCCGTCTTGTCGTCGTGAGCATGCGTACCTGACGACCCGACTAAACAGTACGGAAGACGTCAATCCCTCTGGACTCACCAAGGTGCCAGTCCGCTCGTTGAGATCAATGTTCTCGTCAGTATTGGGCTTGCACAGATGGTCCTTCGTCATGAGTAACATTCGGCCAATCAAATCGGTGGTAGAGACGCCCTCCGTACCTGACAAGGCCGAGAATAGACTGAATGAGCCACCTACTGTACAGTGAAGTGAGAACGACTTCTTACGCTTGATGATCCGAAGCTTGCCAGCATCTCTGAGCTCGTCATAGACACCCTTACCCGACGAGTCAACCGGCATATCATCGCCGTGGACCTACGGAAGGAAAGCGGCAACGTTCGAGATATGATAAATGGCGCATCTAGTCGATGACTGGAGGTGCATAAGAGACGCCGAGATGAACTACGCAGAAGTCGGCCCTCGCCTTCTCGAGAGTTTTCAAACCGACATCATAAGACGCATCATAGAGGATCTCGTCAACCCACTTGATGTGCTTTAAGAGTTCATATCTGAAAAACAGCATAGAGAACAGAACTTCTCATCGACAAGAGTAGGTTGCTCCTCGTTGTCACCTTTCCCTCTGCTTCATAACAGGAGGTGCCTTCCTGTCGGCTATAACACTGTCTGAGTGTATGCCAACAACCAGTATGTCACATTGAGCTGAAGGGGAGTTGACCATCATATACAAGAAGCCCTCTCACCTTTAGCTTGTCGTATGGCATTGTAATGGCCGCTGTGCATAATGTCGAAACAGCCGTCTATGTATCCTCTCACCTGATACAGTAGAGTTGATGATGATGATGTGGAGGGTATTGAAGGATGTTACCGGACAATGGTCCACAACGTCAGGGCTCCAACTGGAAACATCCCGATTTGACATGGTTGGACTGGAGGAAATCACACCAACCACTGAAAATGAATCCCAGCTGAATTAGAAACAACCGCAACAGCACAGGGACACACAATATGTGGCTCATACAAAGCGAAAGTCTACCATAGCAGACCGATCGCATTCGCTAGTATCAAAGTTAACTCATGGTGTTGTCTTAGGATTCGTGATTCGGAACGAATCACCCAACATAGACTAACGGCATAGACAACACGGCTTATCCTGATTGAGGCCGGATTAACTAACAGCGGCCATTACGAACATACTCCGATGATTCGATCCAACAGTAGCAGGTCACAGACTATGCATCGAACCAAAATAACAGCGCGACTTCGGAGAACATTTCAGAGCTAGAAGGGATAGCAACAAATACGATTCATAAGAAAACTAGCATATGAGTTCACTCCAAGTTGCGACAAAGAAGCGGAAGGCTCCTTGAGATGATATAGTCGTAATGGATCATGCACCCGTGCATCTCGTGCTGTTGGGACTGTATCACGGTCGTGTCGGAGTATAGGGATCCGAAGGTGGCACGCGGAACCTCCATTACGATGAACAATACAGACTTAAGTATTCTACACCATCGAATATAACACAGTTATCTCGTCAGCCCAGAACAGCTAGAAAGATCCCAAGGCTGTGAAGCTGTTCCTGAGGGTCCTTAGCTCGTGAAAGTCGCTCTACTCTTCAGAACACCCTCAGGGCAATTCCGCACAATCCAGTGAGCATTTCGTTCTGACCGAAACGTTCCGATATGCATGGCCAGAGCCCTCGTAACCTCACGTATGTGTGCGTGTTGTCACTTCGTCGAAGACATCACGTGAACATGTTCGTATACTCTGACTGAACATCCACCTCGGGGAAAACGTGGTGCCACAACCCACTCCTTATACGAATATATAGCGGAGTAGAGTAGTGACATCCACCTCGGGGACACCGTGGTGTCACAACCCACTCCTTATACGAATATATAGCGGAGTAGAGTAATGACATCCACCTCGGGGAAAACGTGGTGCCACAACCCACTCCTTATACGAATATATAGCGGAGTAGAGTAGTGCCTTTGAACTCCTCACCACACTCATTGAAAGTGTGAAATACTTTGGATAAAAGACACTAGGTTCTGCACGCATGACATTAGCGAAAGTGAAAAACCTCCACAGAGGGACAGAAATTGTGTCAAGCCGAGCACCCACGCGTAACCGTACAAACAGAGCAATCGGTGGCTAATCGTGGTGAGATAGGACTGTGAAGCGCTCAGTCGAGAAGCACTAGAGACTCGCGCAATTACGGTTTACCGAGACAGCAAATTCCACCACTGAACTCAGATGACGGAGCCCAGAAATGGAACTACTCAGTGCCTAGTTTGCACCGTGTGAGACAATGAAATCGAAACTACTAGAATATTTCTAATCTGGATGACAACTTTCACCGAGACAAAACTCTTGAGTCTTTCTTACACGAGTTACTAAACTCGCGAGCTGTAGGTCCTGTCACAGGACTCCTGTGACCACAGCAAGTCATGAGACGTGCATTACACACGCATACGCCTTGAGAGTTATATTATCACGAACTTGAACTTCGCATCGACCTCAGACAGTTCTTAAGGTCACATGACGGCTTGAAGAGTTCTAAATGCAAATGTAACCTACTCGTTTCGGATTCGTACCTGCAACTTGACGCTTCGCAACAAAATCAATGGTTCCAGAACGGACCGAGATGTACTAGAAATGTGGTAAGAACAAGTCTTGCACTACATTACTCCCTCTTGTGAGAGGACAGAAACAACCTTCTTAACGCAACAGTACGGATCCCAGATAAAACCATATCGATTCCTTAGTCTAATAGTGGAGTTGTACTGACTAGCTCTAACTTGGTAAAATAGGTAGCCGAGTCGTTGCAGGTAGTTTGTGGCTAATCGAAGAAAAGCTCACCAGATCTACGCTCAGATGAGTACCATTCCATTTCCTGCTGAGACTATTCTAAGAAAAGATAGACGATTGGTAAAATAACACTGGTAAAAAAAGAAATGAAAGATAAATTATCGCTAAACGCTGACGGTCTAGCTACTGTTAGGAAAGAATTTCTACTGCTCAGCGATGTGCTGCTTGTTGCAATAGTATTCACTCTCGATCTCGCTCCGTTTCTTATTACGATTGATGTATCTGGAATCAAACAGTCAGCTCATAAGGTGAGCTTAAGCGAAACCCGTACGTGAGGCAATTCTTGATGATCCGTGTG